CAATTACTTGAAACTTGAAAGTCAAATTTATGGCTGAATCATACCCAATTACCCTGATGCCATTACCAATGCAGATAAGATAGCTCTCACAGCAAGTTTTCATAGATTTTTTTAGCCTACACAAATATATAAACATATTCTTCACTGTTTTAGTGATATTAAAATTATGCGGCCAATCATTCAGAACTTTGTCATTACAATTTTTGACTTGACATCAACTTAGGATCCACATGCAGTTTCTCAGAAAACGGCCCCTAAACCATGAAGATTTGATAGATTTTTGTCTCATGACCAAACAAGTTTCATTGATATTTCTTTGAGCCCTTCAGAGTTCAACGGTCAACCTCTCTGAGAAAAAAAAAGAAAAAAAATTATATTGGATGCCATCTCAATCCCAAAGAAAAAAAAAAAGAACATATATTGTCTCATCTCGTTTAGCAGCGTGTTTACTCATAACAAAGGGGAATGTCCATTCCTAGAAGAATTTCAACAAATTGCATTACATTTCCAATCCCTTCGAATGCCAAAACCATTGGATTTAGATCAAACAGGAATATGCTATGAAAATTTATCTTTTGTATTTTATTTTTTCTGTTTTCCTTTTAGTCTTTTGTACTTAGAATTGTATAATGTATAATTGTAATTTGTCAGCAAAGTTGTTTCTTTTTTTTTTTTCTTCAAATTCAAAGAATTCTTCTCACTTTATACATAGGTCATCGATTCAGCATTGGAAAAAGGGGCTCGAATCGTTTTATCGACATGAGTGTTTTATATCGAAAAAACATTTTCCACTATTTGAAAATATTTCTGTATTTATTAACATAGTAGTAGAAAGAGTACCCTGCTGCATCTGAACTTCAAACAGTTTGGCCTTAACCATGTTAATGGTCCCGGATTATTGGTTAATAGAGAATCAAAGTCGATGTACCAATGAATGACGAAATGCTATGGTTCTTAAATATATTTTTGAAATTTATTCAGAAATAATTCGTAGGATCATGCACTCTTTTCTTTCCTAGTTATAATGAAAAAAAGTGCAATTGGGTGAATTCAACCTATTCTTGAAATAAAAAAATTGCGCACACTTGCTTCCCAACAAAATCAATACACCAAGGACTAAACTTAGATTTATTGGTTTTGTTGCTAAAATATCGGTATCCATTATGAGAAGGGGCTGGGGAAAGCTTGAACCCAATTCCTACAGTGATGAATATAAGCGCAATTGAAATTCCTGGGGAGTTATACATTTGTGTATTGATAAGACCATTCACTATTTCTTGAAGCTCGATCTCTCTCCCGGATGAACCATATAGCCAAGAGAAACCATGAACCAGAATAGAAGAGCTTGCCCCACCCATGAGTAAATATTTCGTAGTAGCCTCATTAGATCGTACATCTTTCTTGGTATATCCAGATAATAGGTAGGAGCATAAACTGAAACATTCTGGAGCTACAAAGATAGTTATTAAATCGTTAGCACCGCATAAAAACATTTCTCCTAAAGTAATTGTTAATACGAATAACAAAAACTTTGTTATAGCCATTTCTGTACATTCAATGTAATCTACAGATGGAAGAATACATAGAGTTGAACACTGTGAAATAAGAAATTGAAAGATTTTGTTGAAATTGTTCGTTTGAAAATTTCCTGAAAAGCTAATCATAGGTTTTTCTCTCCATCAGAACAATAGGGCCATTATGCTCATTGCAACTCGTTGAAGAGATGAAATATAACCAAGATATATATTTTTTATCGGAGGTTGAATCTATCATCAGAAGAAGAATTAGGCCAAAAATTAGGATATATTTTGCGAAAATAAAACTACCATCGAAAAGAAGCAAATGAAAGGCTTTCATAAAAATTTTCGTAGAATCGAGAATGAAGCTTTTATTTTGTACAAGCCAAATCATGAATTAGTAACTGCATCCAATCTCTAAAAAAATCTTAATTATTTTAAACTTTCTATTTTTGGAATGAAATATTTATAGAATCTTTTGAATAGGATCAAACCTTATTTCATGGTATTTGCATAAGATTCCTCTTTCTTATTCTTAAGTCTTCAATAGAGTTTAGTTGATGAGATGTAATGATTTCTTAGGTCATACATATTCGTGTCGAGCTCCAATATGATAATATTTTTGAAAGAACAAAAGAATAAAAGAGAATAATTAGAGTCAAAAGCAAAAAATATTTTTTATTTTTTATTTTTGCGTAGGTTAAAGATCAAAATGAAAAAAATTAAAAAATTAAAAATAAAAAAATTATCAAAATATTAATAATATTATTAAAATAACACGACATTAAATATATCAAATCAATTTCACATATTAAGTTAACAAAAATAATGAAATTACCTCTTATTATCTATCAAAAACTAATTTAAAGAAAAAAATTATTGTATCCTTTTTATTAGTATACGTTAAAAATACCCTCATCTAATGAATATAATCAAACTGATCGTTTCATGACACGTGATGTCACATGTCATACTCATATCTGACCATTTTTTCATGACATGTGATGTCTCATGTAAAGAGGAAAATAAATAATCCCACTTGCACGCACCGTTTATTAATTTTTAAATTGGCCGCCAGGGAACAGTCAAGTCCAATTGCAAGATTGGACAGGATTGGAACTTTGAAAATCTAAAACAGGTTCAAAACAATTGATCTTGACAATAAACTACTGCTTAAATTGATTGTAATGCAAAACACAAGCTTCGATTCATATAAAAGAAATGCGTCCATGAGCAATCAAATATCGTGGTACAATGATGACAATAAGCCACTTTTTGAAGCTTTTCAGCTCATACAGTATCCTTTATCCCAAGATAAGAAAAGGAAATCTCTTACCCTGTCCTTGCTATAAGTTACCAAGTGTATTTTTGACAGCTTGCAGGATGTAGAGCATGAAGTATGATTAAATTTGGAATTTGGTCCACTTTGAATCATCCATCAATTAAGGTACTTCAATTCCTTATAATATTTTACAGCAACCAAAGAGAGGATGGTTAGATTTCTTTCCATATTTTAAGTCATGGTTCTGGCTGGCTTATGTCCCAAGTCTCAAAAAGACGGACCTCGTGTGCTGGTTAATAAACTATAGATAACACACACACTTATGAAGTAATTAGATATACCACTTTCGCGAGCACAGTGCTTGGGGAAAGTAGGGTTCGAGTCTAACCATTGAGTAAGAATTTTTGGACAGTAAAGTCTTAACTAATGCCATAAGTGATTATGTGATATTATCATAATTTATTGATAAAATATTAAAATTTTAATTTTAATAATCAGATTTATTAAGAATAGTGACTTAAATCTCATAAGAAATTTATTTGAAGTTTATTAGATATTACTTAATGGATAAAAAGACTTACAAAAAAAAAAATTTAAAGAAAAAGAGATTTTTAATAGATAAGTTTAATTTGCAGAAGAAGAATTTTAAAAGAAAAAAATTTTTAATAAGTAAATTTGTATGATTATAAATAGATGAAATTTCTACAGGATTAATTTTATGAGATAAACAACTTATAGGATTACTGAAAATTTATGTCTTATAAGTGTGTATATTTTGTTTGTGAGTGAACTAGAGGAGACTAAGACGATTCACATAAGTATGATGTATGGATATGTATAGATATGTATTTGATTGTGTTGAAAAGATGCACATAGGTATGTGTTGTTTGGGTTAAAAATACTTCATAGGACTACAAAAAATTGAGAGTCTATGGATATTGATTATTGAGTGGTTGATATATTTTGATATATGTTTGTAATTCTCTACAACTAATGGATCTTGTTTTTTATCTATGGACAGAGATTAGTTGGATCAAATCATGTTAAATTGTTATCTCTTGTGTGATTGATTAATTGTTTGATTTTGCTTCCATTAGTGTGATGGGATTGAGGCCTTTTAGCATAACAAGTGGTATAAGAATTGAAGGTTCAAGATGTGAGAAAAGCATTGTTCAAGGTATAAAAAGTGACAAGTCTAGAGGTGTTCGATTCAAGAGAAGAGTTTGAGTTTATGTTTTGAAGATTGAGGATCAATTTGCATAAAGTGTGAAGACACACAAGAGAAGATGATTGTGAGACTTCTATTGCAAGTGAAGCTAAATATGTCTAGCATGAAGACAAACGATTTGATAAAATTTAAGTCAAGACAGAAATTATTAGGAATAATGACTCAAATCTCATAAGAGATTTATCTGAGATTTATTAGATATTACTTGATGGACTAAAAAACTTGTAAAAAAAAAAATTCTAAAAGGAAAGAGATTTTTATTAGACAAGCTTGACTTAAAAAAAATTCTAAAAGGAAAGTGATTCTTAATAGGCAAGTTTGTATAGTTATAAATAAGTGAAATCTTTGCCGGGTTAGGTATGAAAAAAATATAAAAGAGTTGTAAGATTTTGTGGAATAAATATTTCATACTACTGAAAATTTACGTCTTATAAATATGTATATTTGTTTGTGAGTAGACTAAAGGAGACTAAAATAGTTTAAATAGATATGGTGTATAGGTGTACAAAGGTTTATGTTTGTTTATATTGAAAATATTTCATAAGATTAGAAGAGATTAAGAGAATCTTATGAGTATTAATTATTGAGTGAGATTGATATAATATGTTTATAATTTTCTATAATTAGTAGATCTTATTTTTTATCCGTAAACATAAATTCACTAAATCGAATCACATTAAATTATTGTATTTTATATGTTTAATTAATAATTTGATTTTAGTTTCATTGGTGTGAATTAGATTGTATTTTGGCCTAACAAAATTCAACCTCCGTCGATATGAAGTAAAAAAAAAAACGTACAGTGATACGGTGATGCTGGCAAGCAACATTTATTGAACCAAGTAATTAACATGTTTCTTCACCGCCTCAAACTCTATTTAACCACAAGTCAGTTTCTGACTGATGCAACATTGTGACAAGCAAACCTTTCCCTGCTTTATCCAACTCTACTCTCTTTTGCCCATTTTTCACCATGGCTTTCAAAGCTCTGCTGCTTCTATTGGTCACTCTTCTGCTAGTTTCCACAAGAGTATGCCTACCTCCTCGACCTTTAAACTCAAGCACAAGGTTTTTAGTTGTTAATGTTATCTAACTCAATGATATCTCATTTTGTTGTTGTAGGTTGCATCCAATGCGGAGGAAGAGAAGATTGAGGTGATTTTTTAAACAATGTTAACTGCTCTTTTTTTTTTTTTTTCTAATTGTCTTGTTTAGTTTAATTAAAGTTTAGCTGATAAAATACTGACCTGAGACAAAGCTGAATCATTTGAAACAATCTGGTTCTTGTTTTTTTTTTTTTCTCCTAGTTTCATGAGCTGAAGTACTGCCCAATGTGTAGTTGTTGAGCATTTTTATTTTCCAGTTACCACTTCAAAGAACATTGTCAATCTTGTTTTGATTAACTGGATAATATCCAATTGCACCCTTCTTTCTTTATGTTAGCACTCTAAAAGCTGCATTTTCATTCATATTGTGAAAGGTAATTGTCTGGTGCATCACATTACTACTGAACATACTGGCGTTGTGCTTTAGTGGTAACCTTGGCTACATTCCCTTTTGCAAACAAGAAATCTAATCTGTAATGAACTTACTAGATGAGTTCTTCTGTGTTCATTGTTTACTAAAATTATTGCAAATTACTTTGCAGATTAAATATGTTAAAGTTCCTGTACCAGCGGCAGTCCCAGTGAAGGCGGCCCCTGCACCCCCAGTTGAGACTCCCACTCCAGCACCCCCATACAAAGCCCCAACTCCAGCTCCCCCAGTCAAGGCTCCTACTCCCCGATATGAACCCCCAACTCCTGCACCTCCAGTCCAGGCCCCTAATCCCCCTTATAAACCCCCAACTCCGACACCACCAGTCACGGGCCCCACTCCCCCATATAAACCCCCAATTCCTGCACCACCAACTAAGGCGCCAGCACCCCCAACCAAGGCTCCGACTCCGCCATATAAACCACCAACTCCTGCACCTCCAGTCAAGGCCCCTACTCTCCCATATAAACCCCCAACTCCTGCACCACCAACCAAGGCACCAGCAACCCCATACAAGCCACCAACAACTCCAGCACCCCCTTACAAGCCTCCGAGTCCGCCATTGCCACCTGTTAAGACAAGAAAGGGTAAAAACCATCTTTTTCACTTACCATAGTAAAAGCTAATATCAGCTTCCCATAACTTGGGGAAATTTATTTATTTATTTTCTGACAATGCGTAACGTATGGACAATTCTGCTGGCAGACTGCATCCCTTTATGTGGACAAAGGTGCAGATTACATTCAAGGACTAACTTATGCTTGAGAGCATGCATCACATGCTGTGACAGATGCAAATGCGTTCCACCAGGGACATATGGCAACAGAGAAATGTGTGGCAAGTGTTACACTGATATGAGAACCCACCGCAACAAACCCAAGTGTCCTTGAAACCCAAACGCAAACGAAACTTTCTTGATGTTTCTACTTGGCAAAGCGGAAAGCATGCTGTATAATAATGTTTTAGAGAAGGGAGAAAATGAATGGTTTTCTTGTAATGTTTCCATTTCTACTCCTAGAAACTATCAACTTGTCGAATAATTTTAGGGCAATACTTCACTCTATGCGTCTACTGAATTTTAATTATGTTAACTGAAGATAATAATATGATTTTCTTGTTATTGTCACCAATCCAGAGAAAACCATGGTTGCAATTCTTTCATCTCATACCATCTGGCTTTCTTCTGCTAGACGTCATGGCTTAAAGACAAGAAAATATTCACGGTGTCACCTGATCATCGGATAGTACTACTAGATGCCTTCTATGCAACCAGGCTAGGATATTTTGCTTCAATTAATACAGAATGCACTATATAGAAATTGGAATAGTACCATAGAATATTTAGCATAACCGAGTGTTGGATATCCAACTCAATTGAGAAAGGCAACATTCAGCAAAGCTTCATGGTATTCAGCAAGGCTGCTGTAATTTTCACTATCTGGTTTGCCTGCTCAATGTTTAACCATTTCTGCTAAAGCAGAAACCTCTAGCTGGCCACCGGCCCCGACCACCAGTGCAGCACCAAGCGCGCCCCTAAACGTTTCCAGCATTACTGGCTGGAGACATCGGTGTAGCGATTTCGTTGTTTGTCCTTCACATTTGCACAGGAGAATACCTAATCAAATGAATAATGTTGGGCTTCAAGCTTGAAAACGTACTAAGCTATGACAATGCAGGCAGGCCAATGCCTGATGCTCATTTCTTTTAAGACTAACAGATTTGAGGTCCAAACATAGAACCCAAGCTAAGCCAATCAACCCCAAAGCTCAAAGCCCAGGCTTTTATTTTCTGTCTTTTTTTGGCCAGACAATTTCTAGATTAAAAAAATGAAATTTAAATTATTATCATGTAGTTTAAATTTTATTCAGATTTTATATTTATTAGACTGATTTTTGTATATACTTTAAATTTCAACTTGTTTATTTTCTCATAGAAATTTGATGATTTGATAAAGTAAATTGTATAAAAATATGAGATAATTATCTCTAATTATATAATTGAAGATCCATTCAATCTGCTTGTATTCAGATTCTGAGGCTTTCAAGAACTTTGGAGTACTAAACTCTTAATTCTTGTGATCAGAGTTTAATCTTATATAATTTCAAGTAAAATAAAAAAGGTTCCCAGGGCTGAAGAAATAGGTTACTTTGATTTTTACAAGAACCAATTCTCTAGATGGGACAGGGACATTGTCAAGCACAAGAAAATTCTCACCACCACTGGAAAGACATTGTTGTACAAACAGAGAAAAAGACTCAGAAAGAACCAGTATACTTCCGAATGCGGTGGCTGTATCACTACAACAAATTTGATTATTAGTGACGCATAGAATAATATCATTAAATATTTATTTTTTATCATCATATATATTTTGTGATAAAATTAAATATCATAATATTTTTTATGTGTACACCGTCGCTAAAGAGCTAACGCGACAATAGTGAAATATCGCTACTCTTTACGCATTTCTGTGCAATATAACAAAGACTTCTTTCGTAAAGTAGCAGAAGATTATCTGAATTACGGAAAAGATGTCACTGACTGATCGTGACTTGGATCAATGGAATAAAATGAGATTTTAAGAGAATTGATACGTTTCATTCATGAAAACCGTTGTTACAATGTAGCTTCCTCATATAGCACCTTCTATCATTGCAATCATAGCAGAGACTAATGTATACAGACAAACTTGTTGACATCACTATTCTAATGTCTTAACAGCTCAGGGGATGCTAATGATTAACCGCCATTTCAGCCCATTTGTCCATTTCTCCCCAGTCAGTGTCTCGCTCAGCTGTTGGCTTCTTTCCTGGCCCATTCCTTTCTTCATTCAGCCTATCGTTTATTGCCTTCAGCCCAGCTCTTTTCTCTGCTAGCTTGGTTTCCAACTTCCTGTTATCATCAGCGTCCAACTTTCTGTTGTCATCAACATCCATCGTCCCCTGGTCACTACCCTGAATAGTTGATTCCATTACAAAAGATAACAGATTCAAGATAAACCCTATTTCCAAAATAAACAATCTTTGATCTAACTTTTTAAATAAGCCCAGTTCCATATTCTAAAATGTCAAAAAGGAATGTAGGATATTCTCCTCGTTTAGGATCAAAACAAATTATAAATTTAGAAGACTTACATAAGATTTACATTTTATCATAAAAAAAATGATTGATAACAAAAATCGAATCTAAAATTTACAAGCGAAATATTCAATCCTTTTCATTTTAATCAACTTGGTTTGATACTCTATTTCTTTTCCCAACATAGCTTCTCTAGGTTATTGGTCCATTATTAACTCGTCATGGACCTTTATTCTACCACATTCTATATCCATCTAGATCAATCTATGAATTTTTATAAACAATTTTGGATTTTGTTACCCAATCCTTCAAATCAACCCATCTATTTATTACCTGAAACTATGAAACAAGAAGAAAATCTTGTCATCTCATCATCACTAGCTTTACCTCACGAAGATGCCAACAAAATCAATAGTGATAGATCGTCAAAGGTGGGGCCATTCCCTTGGCAAGGTCTAGATGCGTTTGAGTGGCAGAATCATGGGAATAAGCTGTTAAACGTAGACACAAGCTAACCTAGGAACCAAGCCAACTTTCAGTGGGACCAACACGCAAATGCACAAGAAACAAAAAACACCCCCTCATAAAAAGAACAGAAAATTACCTTATCTTTTCTTTCCAGGTTGCTAATGGAATTTTTTGGATTTTGATCTTTTATCTTAATCTTTTCCCTTCTGAAATTGGCATATTCAAATGGAAAAATGTTACATTTGAATATAAGAGAAAGCTGTTCTTGAAACAGTAGATTCTTTTGCTGGAAATTGGAAAATTGCAGAAAGTTGAATTATTATTTGCGGTGTTCCACGTGGCCTGGCCTTATTTCAGCTTTGTATGTATGACAAAGATCAGTGGAGCAGTCAGCAAAGAACACGGTAGGACAGTGCATGTTGAGCACCAAAACTTGAAATTGATCCGATGATCAACTTTATTTTGTGACATTACCAAGACTTTTTATAAATTATAATATTTTTTTTAAAATGAAAATTGTTGAAAATTCGTGATTTGAGCTGATAAGTTGAATCCCCCTCATCCAAGTACCCAAAGAAAATTCAATTATAGGATCATGAAGGATAAAAACTTGGGTTTTTTTCTTTTTTTATGGGGAAAAGGTTGATGAATCCTCGGACTATTAACAAAAGACTTTAGATAAAATAGAATCGAATTTAATTTGATATTTTAAATAATATATAATATTATAAATTTTAAAATTTAAATTATTTTTTAAATTAATTTAATTCAACTTTAATTTTATTAATTTTTAAAATTAAAATTTATTTTTATATATTATTTTAATATATTTAAGTAGATTTATATATATAATAATTAACATTATTTTATAAAATTTTAAAAAATTATATAAATTAATAAAAATATATAATTCAATTTCATATTTCAATTCAAAATTTAATTATATATTGAATATTTAAATTTAATTTAAATCAAATAAAAAATTAATTTAAATTAAATCCAATACTATGATTTAAAATTATTTTTTTCTTATTTTTTTTTTCTCAATCCTTAGGCGGAGGAAACGAAGACAATAAATTGGAAGCTTTGAAATTCACCGCTCTTTTTAATACGAAAGAAAAGAAGCCGCAGAGGGCCCATTAAAAAGCAACCGCGTAGAAACGAATTGCGTATGGCTAAAGCATGATCCTTTCATGTGATCCACGAAATATGCGCCAGATACACCGTTCCTTTGCTGCCTCTTTTCCTACTAATTTATTACACTTTCTTTATTGGAAAATCAAATTGATTTTCTTTATCTTTTTTTTTTTATTCAATCAATGATAGCAAATCTACACAAAATCCAGTTGTATGATTGTTATTGCTGGCCCGCAACTCCACAATCCCAACACGTTCCAGTCCCATAAACCAAACTTCATTTTCATGTTTCAATTTTTCACATCCTATAGAGTTAGATGTTCAATCTAGCCCAACCATACAAATCAAAGAATTTGATTCTCTTTTTTCATAGAAAATGGTGTTAGTAAATTTTAGCATAAAATGTCTAATTTTTCATGCATATAAGACATAAATACGATACCATGAAAGCTGTAAAAGTTTTGCTATTTTAGTATATTAATTCAAAGTCTAAATAATTACTAGAAATGTTTATATTTTAGTTTTAATTGAATTAATTAATTAAATTGATTTAATTCAGTTAATCAATTTATCATAGAATTAAATTTAATCAATTATCAAAAATAATTTTAAAAAAAAAATTGATTTTTGATGAATTCGATTTGAAAATTAAATTGAAATTTTAATTGAAATGTAATAAAATTTATATATAATTAAAAATATATGAAATTACTTATTTCATTTTAAGTTATTAATGGTTTCAATTTAATAATTTGATATTTGAATTTTTTGTTAGATGATTTTATTTAATTTATTTCAAATATAAGAATTTACGAATTTAAAATATAATTTATTTTATTTTTATTTATTATTCGATTAATGGAATCCATTGAATTAATTTTAATTAATTAATTTTAAAAATTTAAAACTTAATTCTATTAATAAAAATAAAATAATTTAATTAATTCGATTTTGAATATTTCAATTAAAAAATAATTAAATCGATCAAATATCCCTGTTAGTTTAAGTTCATACAATTTTTTAAGGAATTATATTCAATAATTTTAAAATTCAAAATTTAACATTTAATTTTTTTTTTTGTTATTCTCAATTTACCATCTTCACCACCTTTTTTATTTATAAAATTGAATTTTGAACTTAAACTCAAATCCAAGATGTTCATTGGATTAAACGTATAGATTATGAATAAATCTATTGAAATTATATAAGAATTAGTAATGGATTCATGACTTTGCAAAGCGATTTTATAAAACAAGTCTCAACTGTTTAACAGGTTGTTTACGTCTTAAATTTAGTTTCGGAAAAAGGTTAGGACATAAGGAGTTTAGGACAGTCAACTTGAACTCGTGAACTTTCAAAACAATGAAAATGTTGTATGAAACATGGCAATGGCATCATCGTCTGTACGTTCGAACCGTTTTTATCGCATCATCTCAGACTTATCAACGGCTGAGATATCATCACATAAATTGGACCCCTTCCGCCACGGTTTTCACCCCGTGATTGGTGTACCATTGCCTCGGTTTCTTTTTTCAATTCTCTCAGCAAAAAGATAAAAGCAGTCCCACTTCTCTCTCTCTCTTCATTGAATCTCCCTCAAAGCCCATCTCTGCTAAACTCTGCTCAACCAATGCCAATGGCGCCGTCATCACCACCACCATCGCCGCCGTCGCTTCTGGTTGTTCTCTTCTTGCTCTCATCCATCGCATTGCTTTGTGAATCAAGGTTAAGTTTGGATTACTACTCCAAAACCTGTCCAAGTTTCAATCAAATCATGCAAGAAACCATAACCAACAAGCAAATCACCAGTCCCACAACAGCAGCAGGAACTCTTCGTCTTTTTTTCCATGATTGTCTCCCGAATGGATGTGATGGTTCCATTCTCATCTCCTCCACTGCATTCAACAAAGCTGAACGTGACGCCGACATCAACCTGTCTCTTCCTGGAGATCCCTTTGACCTCATTGTACGTGCCAAGACAGCCCTGGAACTCTCCTGTCCTAACACCGTCTCTTGCGCTGACATCCTCGCCGTCGCCGCCCGTGACCTTGTGACTATGGTTGGTGGCCCGTACTATAATGTCTTACTAGGACGGAAAGATTCAAGATTTTCTCAAGCTCCTTCAATAGAAGGGAAACTGCCTAAACCCAACATGGATATGTCACATATTATCAATCTTTTTGCAGCAAGTGGGTTCAATATTCAAGAAATGGTGGCCTTAAGTGGGGCACACACTATTGGGTTTTCTCATTGCAAAGAGTTTATCTCAAATATTGGCAATGATACCAATTACAATCCAAGGTTTGCTCAAGCGTTGAAGCAAGCTTGTTCAGATTATCCAAAGAACCCAACTTTATCTGTTTTTAATGATATTATGACTCCCAACAAGTTTGACAACTTGTATTTTCAGAATTTACCAAAGGGTTTGGGGCTTTTGAATTCAGATCATGGGTTGAATAATGATCCTAGAACAAAACCTTTTGTGGAATTGTATGCAAAGGATCAGAACAAGTTCTTTCAAGATTTTGCTACAGCTATGCAGAAGCTTAGTGTTTATGGGATCAAGACTGGGAGCAATGGAGAGATTAGGCGCAGGTGTGATGCTGTTAACTGAGTTTTTGAGCTGTTATTACTGTCTGAGATGGTGAATTTTGTTTTCTTTTAACTGAATTCTTTCTCGGGTTTTGAAGATCTTTTGAAAATATGTATACTTCTCTTTGTTTGTATCAATTGTCACATCAGGCTTAAATTTATACATATTTATTCTGTGTTCTGGGTTTCAAAGTTCCATTCTTTTTTTGTTTTTCTGTAGTGCTGCTGCTCCTGGATTTCCCTGATTCTGTTTTACTTGTTTCTATGATTAACACAGAAGAAGCTGACCTTCAACTTAAAAGTTTTTGTATAGTTTAATTAGAAGCTTCATTTAGGTGATTCTGGTTCTGGAAACATGGGGAGATGTTGTGAATTGAAAGAGTGGATATAATAATTATGAAACCAACCAGAGAGATGCCTTTTTTGGGGTTTTAAAATTCATGATGTTGGATTGTTTAAGTTCCTTGAGTTTACTTTTGTCTCTTCTCTTTGTCTTCTTCAAGAAATAGATTAAGTACTAGCTTAGTCATCAATTTGAAATATCAATGGTGAGTGTATTTTATATCTGATGATGCCTTTATCCATTCACTAAATCTTTCTCAACCTGGGTAATCACACCATTCCCACCTGCTACCATGTGGGGAGCGGTTATTCATTTTGAAATGCAGAATGGAAAATTTTTCCCAGAATTTAACAACCAAAGAAAGAAACCATTTCCAAGAAAGCAACCTCATTTGGTTTCAGCTGTGTTTGATTTCTTACTTGAGTTTGAAAAGTATTTTGAGATTGGAAGTTGATTGAAATTTGAAACTGCAGCTATGGATGAACCTGACCATTACACTTATCAATCCATTGTCTTCAAAGTTTAGGCTTACAAGTGATAAATTGAACAGCCTTAATTGTACCATCTACCACAATTATTTCAGGATGCTAACAGCAACTACCATTCCAACTGCTTTAAGGAACACAATCACATTGTGAAGAGCATTGATGCAGGTACATAGAGATACCAATATATGTTTCTTCTATGCTGGTTTGATTCTTTCATTCTTTTTACAGTACTGTCCATACCCGATGAACATGTGTATAGAGGTCCGACTTTTCAAATATATAAAAAAAAATTAGCAAAATTTGAACATACCTGCATAGATGCATACCCGTATCTCAGATTTTTGTAATGTATTGAAAGGAAAATACTTGTAGGCCAAACTGCTATCCAAAAACCACGGTAGAATAGACACATAAACTACCAGACCTTGGTAATCTTTGCTGTTCTGTGCTACAACATTTAAATGTCTCTTCTCTGATAAAAACCTGTAAAAAGCAAATAGCCCTGCGCCAACAACCAATTGACTCGATATAGACTTGCAAATTCTTTTGATGCTAGTGGCTGTTATAGACTTGCGATATTTTTTGTTTCATGTTCTTAATTTTGAAGGCCCAGAGTAAATAATCATTACTCAGTGTGCCCAAAATGTCAGTTCAAACCATTTCTAGACATGTTTATCACTCTTCAGAACCTTTAATGGTAGCCATAAGTTTTCTTTTGCTCTTGTTTTCTGCTTGAAGACATGGAAAGTACAGGCTTAAAAATACCTAGTTTTCTAAACTGAAATGAAAAGGACCAAATGGACCGGTAAAATGGGATGAACTGAACTTTCATCCAGTCAAAAGCATTATTGATTCACTCATTTTTTAAAGTTACAAAGCAGGGATTTGTGAATTGATAAGCCAAAAAAAGGGGGTCAATGCAAGTATGATTTTGCTTTCCTAGTTATATATTTTTACCACAAATCTCAGTCCAATATGGCTATGTCCCAATCAACAAAGCCCACCAGTCAGCCTTATCTTTCAGAGCTTCAGTCATCAACAAAAGCATGCTCATTTATTTTGGTTCAGCTAAGCCTGTGGATACATTCCATGCCACCAAATCCTGGGTCCAAGCATTGGTCACACAACAACCATGGATTTTTAGTGCAAGTAAGAGTTGAAAGTGATGAAAGACAAATACCTCTTATCGATTGTGACTTAAAGCAACCAAAAATTTTGAATTCTTAGTATTTTCATGATATGAAATGAGAACAAATGAAACTTTGGTAGATGGTTATGTCCTTTGCAAAAGAGGCAGCTTAAAATAATTTTAATGTATTCAGTTTTAGCCTGGTCATGTGAAAGGTAATACAATTGATGGCAGTCCTTTTCACAAACATGCATTTGCAATAAAGTTCTAAACCTTGCTATTTTCCTTGTCCAATGCTAACATAGATATAATACATTATTAATAATTTTGATTTGATTTGATTTGAGGAACTCAAAATTTGTTTCAATTACAAATTTAAAATTTAAATAGATTTATTTAACTTATGCTATCAACTTTTTTATGATATTTAGTAATTTTAAAATTTAGTGACTTTTATTTTATATTAATTTTTTTACATAAAAAGTGAGATTTTATTGAACTTAATAATTTATATATTCGTGTTATGTAAATATTAAAAATTCATATATTTGTATCATATTTTATATAAAAATTACATATAATAATTTATATGAATATTAAAATATAAAATAAATTTTATTAAATTTATTTATAATTTTTATTAAAATTTAAATTATATTATTTTTATATTTTTTATTTATATCATTTTCATATTATATCATTTTACCATATTTAAAATTATGAGATTTAAATTTTATCAGGTTCAAAGTTCATGCAACCATGGATTCTAAGCAAAATTGAATAAGGAAAAAGTTTCCCTTCTTTTTATTTCAAGAAATTAGTGTCACAAATACAATCCAGCTAAGAAAAAGAGTGCCTTTTTCTTTGGAATCAATTCTTCTCAGGAATAATTTTCCAATTTCCATCACTTTTTTACATCTTTATCACCACCAATTGCTTTTGAGAGGAAAATTTAAGAAAATTAAAAAAGGAAGAAAAGTCACAAAGTGAAAAAGCAAGAAAAATCTCTACAAAAAAGAAAAATAATCCACCAATAATACAAACCCGAATAATAAAAAAAAAACCCACAGGAGAATTAAAAAAAAAAACTCAGAACTCGGATGAGTTCACACATGATCCGTTCATTGCTCCACCGAATCGAAACCGAGTCCGACTCATCAACCCCGAGTCAAGCAATTCCTCCCAGTCCGCATCCTCTTGCTCCTCCTTACTCCTCGCTTTCAACATCTCCAACATCCTCCTCGCCTTCTCCCTCGCCGGCTGACTACCCATCCTCTCCAACTTCACCAACTCCTCCACCGCCCCAGCTGCGATCGCCAATCCCTTAAACCTCAACCCCCCGTGACTCAGTACATACAAAACAGAGACACAACCCTCCCGAGTCGACTCATCCACTTCACTCTCCTTCAACAAACTAACCAAACACTCCACCCCACCCGAATCCATCATTGCAGCGCGCCCGTCCGAATCCGACCCCAAATTACACAATACGATCAATACCCGACCCGTCATGTGACCCGATTTAACCATATTTAACAAAACCGGAACCGATCCAAGTTTAATTAGTTTACTCTTATTACTGCGAACGAGTGAGAGATGGTAAAGTGCCGAGGCCGAGTCATGCCGAGCCCGCTCAGTCCCTGATCTTAGCATGTGCATGAGAGGTTGCAAAGCTCCCAAAAATCCAATGGCAGTCTTGTTATCATCAACAAGGGCTAAGCTAAAGAGGGCACCGCAAGCATGCTCCTGCGCCTCAGGTGATCCTGCCTTCAACACATCAATCAAATCAGGAACCAATCCTGACCGTACGATCTTAACCTTATTGACTTTTTCTAACGACAAGTTCACCAAAACTGCAACTGAGTTCACTTGAATGTTTACGTATCTGGAAATTATTAAAGATCTGAAAGCCGAAAGTACACGTGGCGTGCAAAGAACAACCCTGGAACTCTCTTGGGTTCTTGTGATCTTCCTTAATGCAACCAATGCTTCTTCAACATCGAAAACTTGAGGGCTTTTTAGTTTTGTAAGAAAAAACTCTTCTTCTTCGTCAAGGTTAGGGGCTAATATTTCGATCTCGGAGGAGGATGAAGCGGATGAGTAGCAACTCGGACGAGTCGCTAACTGCAATGGCGGTGTTACAACATTGGTTGTGGTGGTGATGGCGGTGGCGGCAACCGATTCCTCTGAGCTGGAGTGGAAGTGAATTGGCCTCGGAATTAACTCAGTGACTGCCTGATCCAATTTCACTGAAGGACTATCTTTAACACCTTGAATCAACTCTTCCACTGAAGTAGACACCTTTTCTTCTTCTTTCTTTATCTGGGTATTTGGATTTTTGGCAATTAACGTTCGGACGAGTTCCTCAGCTGTGGATAAATTCAGGGGTTTTGGAGGATTTAAGGAATGATTTTGACACCAGTTGAAAATGGCGGATTTAAGGGCAAGGTTAGGGATAATAGTGGAGAAATCAGGGATGGAACCATCCCGGAGAGTTGGTGTGAACTCCAAGGTTTTACAGGCTTCAACACAGGCTCGTTCAAAGGTGTGACCTGAGAAAACTATAACCGGGTCAGCCATTAAAGACCCTGAAATAGGACAACAAAATTCTTTGGGAGTTTCTTTTTGCTGAGCCTGAGATGTCTTTGAAACTTTATTATTTGATGATGACCTGTGAAATGAAATCCTCCATTTTTGTTTGGTATTAACTGCACCGGTTGCAACTTTCTCTTCTCTTTCTCTTCTCTTTCCCTGAAACTTCTTGAAAAAACGCTTTATGATGAGCTGGTGTTTTATGAATCACTAGTTTCATCAAAGCTTCCTGGAACTCCATGTTGAATTCTTCCCTTCAACCACAACACTTTCCCCTTCTCAATGGAACTTACTTTAAACTTTGTATCAACATATCAATAAGGAACATCAGGGAACGTTGCTGAGACTCCATGATTTCAAGTGGGTGAGAAAAACAGTAAACTTGAGAATCAAAATATTGTTTTTGACCAAAATGGCAAAATCCAGGGGACTTAACAGGGATCAAGTGAAGAGAGAATCAGGAGGAGAAAGTTAAGGAACATGTTACCATAGACCAAGTCCTTGTGAACCAAACAACAGAAAGAAAGAGTTTGGAATTTGATTTGGATGATGAAATGATGATTTGGGAGAGAGTATGGGGGTGAGGTTTCAGTTACCTGTTAGGATTTGGATTCTTTTTTTGGTGTTTTTTTTTTCTTGAATTTAAGCCAATGACAGAAGAAAATAAGGAACTTGTCAAACTCCGGTTCCCACTTACTACTGCCATTTTTACTTGCTTTGAACTTTCTTTGAACTTGTATCCCTTTTTTTTTTTTTGTCGGTTTTGATAATTTACTATAATTTTACATTATCTTTTCAAGTTTGGATCGTATTTTCAATTTTTAATAGAATAAAATTAAATAAAATAATTTATATATTTATGTGATATATTTTTTGGTTAAATATTTTTTATTTTTATTAAATTATAAATTTTATTATTTTTATATTTATTGTATATTTTTATTATATTATCTGTCATTTCTAAAATTATTGATATAAATATAATATGTATAGAGGAACAGACAATTTAATCATGGATTATTGTTAATGAAGCATAATAGAAAATGGGACGCAGAAACATCACATCAATCTTTTGCTGTTCATTCTTTTGGGGCAGTTACTGGCCTTTTTTTTTTTTTTTTTTTTAATGATTACAAGTTTTTGACATTTCATAAGTTAGAGGAAAGCACGAAACAAATTTTGTGTTTTGGATGAAAGATTGAGTAATTTTGACGAGATTAAAAATAATAATAAAAATATAATTAATTATTATATTTATAAAATTAAAATTAAAAATAAAATATGTATTTAAATGTAAAAATATTATAATAATAAGATAAATTATAATAAAAATAAAAAAATTTTAAAAATATTAAAATAAAACTATATATAATAAAAATTTTATGTGATTTAACATTTATAAAATTAATAAATAATTAAAAATTATTTTTTATATTTATTAATAAATAATTAAAAATTAATAAAAATAATAATATAGCAAATAATATTTTTATTATATTTTATTAATAAAATTATTTATTATTTCTAAATAAAAAATGAAATTAGAAAAACAGTGAAAAAAGAAAAATTATTAAAAATATATATTTTAATAATTATAATATTATGTAAAGGGTTAAAAAAAAAAAAAAAGGCCAGTTGACCACAGGAGTTTTACTCATGAGTGGCTAAAAGCCACAAAACGCACTAAATGTTTGACATCCTACCGGAAACGAGGCTCGATTGACACGAATTTTTATAACAATTAACCTCCCATTAGAGATTCATTTAATTCCAAACGAAGCCTTATTGGATATAGAGATTTGTAGTAGTATTTATTTTTATCCATTAACTTTGAGTTATCAACTCTATTTTTTAACATCAGTTATCAACAATTTTGTTTATATATGTCATGATAAAACTTGGGATTTTTTTAATATGATAATTTAAGATCAAGAACATTAATGTTTTTATGAAAATTTTGGGGTATATCTATAAAAGAGTTTGTAGGATTGTTACTTCATTTTCTATATAAATATAATGTATTTTATCGTTTAATTCAATAATAGATGCACGTATTTATGATTTGAATCCAAATTTTCTTTTTCAAAATTAAAAGACAAGCATAATCATCATTTAAGATTGTAAACAGATCGAATATAAATGAATAAATTTATATCTGTGATTTATTCATTTATTTTTAGAGGTTTTAGACTCAATTCATATTTTATAAGAAAATGATTTTATTCATTCGAGCTCGATTCATTTAAGTAGTAGTATGTTTGTATTCGATTCGTGTTTATTTCAATTAAATTAAATAATTTTATTCATGAACATTAAATATTAAATGAATATGTTAACGAACATATATAAACGAATATGTTAATAAAGATAAATAAACTATAACCAAATAAATTTAAATAAATAAACATTAAACAAATATAAACAAATTCAAATTAATATAAACGAACTTTAAAATTGAATTAAGGTAAAAATAAAAATATAATTTTATTAGTTTTATTATAAACAAACGTCATACGAACAATAAATGAATGAATTTTAAATAAATTTTAAACAAATTTATTCACAAATATAATTGAATAAAACAAATCTTTATTTGTATTTAATTCATTTAATAAACGAATATAAAAAATATTATTTAAGATCATTTATTAAACTTAATAAATAAATATAAATAAATAAAAATACAATATATTCACAAAAATTCTATCCGGTTACGTCTCTATTTTCATCTTTAATGAATTTATGGCCAGTGCAAAAGCAAATCTGTATTTACATTCTTTGTATGTTATCTTAACAAAGTATAACCGTCCCATACACTTTAGAGTAAATCAAGAATTCATGGCTTCTCAAATCTTTTGAAGCAGTTATTAATGCTGTTGAAGCACACAACTTTCACAGCTTTATAAGCTGTCAAAATCTCTCAGTTAAATGATAAAAAAAAAATGCATTTCATTTGGCTTACAGATGTGTTTGCTCCAAAAGTTAAAGAAAAACCAAACCCTTTTTTTTTTTCCCTCAAAATGTTGTTTTCTGATTAGCTAATGGCCCCTGCTGCCTGACCACTACTGCTTTAACTTCGGATGGAGCTGATAGACAACAAAGTCACCAACAAGAATACTAGATTGTTATTGAAGTCTTAATTGCTAAGTTTTTGTAGCATTGGAAAAGTGATTTTTGACTTTTCAAGTGTTCTAGGCTGGATGGTATCTCTTTATCTTTTCTTTTTTATCAAAGTGATTGATAAAAGTGTTCATCAAAGCTCATCTCCATACCAATTCCATAGATTTAAGAGGATTCCCTTTTCTTTTTTTTCATAATTTTCTTCTTTTCACATTACATGTATTGTTGCTCAAAGTATACTTTACGGCCACTGCTTTTCTGAAAATTTTATTCCCTTAGCTTGGCAATTTCTTTTCAATATTTAACACGGTGAAATAGGGTTGGTATTCACTTTAGAATAATTATCTTTCTTCAATCCAAAATTAACCCATACTTTATTTTTTTACAAAAAAATTATCGGAATAAGAAAAAAGATTACAAATATTAAAATTTAAACTCTAAATGTTTTAACTGTCATCTCTTAAGTTTGGATGAACACACTTTATTTCTTGAAAAACTGTTTTATTTTACTTTACTTTTTCATGCTAAAGGTTAACCAAAATCAGCACAAGCAAGAGTCCCATGATATTGAGATATGTAATAGATTGGACATAAGGTTTTGGCTGTATTATAAATTGATCTCCAAGTAAGGATTTTATGTTAATGTTACTATATATAATTTAATCATTCACCAACATATGCTTTTTAAAAGTGGAATGCCTCTGCCTTTACAAATTGGCATCATTCACCTTTTTGTCTGTATATTAGTCAAAGAATGATTCAAATTATGCAACATTGGGTCTGTGGTCTAAGCAATAATGCTGTCGTTTCTGCTATGGATAAAAATTATATTACAGCATTAAACCTTTGGTTTTTTAGCTCTTGGATAATATTTTCTCCTGATAGGAAAAGAAATGAAAAGATGACAGAAACCTTTTTTTTTTAATTTTATCAATAAGTGATTGATTCAATGGTTAAATTTTTTTATTTTTTATAAAGAGATCTTAGGTTCAAATTTTATCGATGATCGTTTGTTAAAATCATTTCAAATATATAATTTATAATCATCTATTTTAAATTATTAATTACGATATATTTTACCTTAATTTGAAGAATTGAGTAACCTATTTATTTTTAAATTTTATCATTAAAGAAAAAAAGAGACTCTTCTCTTTATCCCAATTTGTAAGGAAGGCCGATTATTCAAGTAATCTTGTTTGCAAGAGATCACCCACTCGTTGATTTAAGCTCCATTTGAATTGATAATGAGATTGAAAATAATAATAAAAATTATTATAATTACGATTGAAAAAAAAATTTAATAAAAAATTTATGTTAACTTAATCTCGTTAAAATTGATATTTAAATTTAACTAAAAATACATTGAGCTTAATGCACCACACCAAAGATGTGATGAAATCCAAATGACAACTTAGTTGATAGAAATAATTTCCTTTTTATTAACCAGATTAAAATTTTAAATATATTAAATTAATGTAAAAAAATATATTTATAAAGTCGTCAAAAAAATTAAATATAAACAAATAAAGAAAAATAAAAACTCTAATTAAACTTATTCAACAACTAAACCACCTGTCTTGAAGGTCTGTTCAAGTTTTAAAAAAAATTGAATAAAAAATTAAGACCTATTAAATAGATTTAAATACAATTTTTAGTTCTGTTCAAATTTTAAATTGAATCTTGGACAAAAAAATTATAATATGAACTTGATTTGACTTAACTCGAATAAATATATATAATTAAAATATTATAATTATTTAAGTAGATATATGTAATTTTTTATTTTAATATTTTATTTAAACAAAAAAGATTCTTTTATTTTTTTAATTTTTTATTATACTAATTAAACTTAATGAATAAGCTTAAAATTTATTTTTTCAACTTGGATCAAACTTGAAAAAATTTTGAGACTTGGATTGGACTAGACCTGAACACACATAAATTATTAATATCAAGTATAAATCTAACTGACACTTGGCCCGACCCATGAATACATCTAACCTGGACCATATTAAGAAAAAAAAAATTCAGGTTTCAAAGAGTAATTATAAGTCCAAGTTGTCTAGGATGGAGACTTTGCAAAACAAAATTATGACAGCTTAGCATTCAATAACTTGAGTAATGACTTGCCAAAAGAATTATAAGATTAATGCAGCAATTATAACCATGATTGCTATCAGGAGTTGCAGCAAAATCAGAGCAGGCTGCATCTGAACAGCTTTCATGAAGGAGGTTAAAAAGAAAAATGGAATTTATCCCCCTATTGACATACAAATATACATACAAATACAACCTCTGTTGGGCCAAATACAAGCTATGACTGTTTAGAAGAGAAAAACTCAAATGTCAAGTGCTACCTGTTTGTTGTTGGTTCCTTGATTTCTTCCAATGTGATGAACTGCATAGAAAGAAAAAAATATGCATGTTGTTTGATATATGCTATTAATATGATGCTTATAAATAATGAGAAAAAAGATTTAGTAATCCATATATATAAATATTTATGTATACCTGATCGTTGCAGCAAAATCATTATATGGAGT